TATTTCTCAAGAATTGTTGAATTCTTTTGCTATATACCACAAGGATCATGCAAAGTCTACATCACCTAACTATAATATAGTTTTAGAGTTATATAATTCAGCATTGTAAATATAACATACTATACTTACATTTGGCTACTCTCTTATTTTGGTTATATAATATCTCCTTGTTTAATCATATGTATGGCTACAGCAACCCTTGCATGATTTGAGTAATACATTTTGCTTGTGAGTTGCCTACATCTATGTTCTATTAGTTAACAATAAGCAAGCTACCTTCCTGTTCAATAATTCTGTTAGTGAATTCTATTAGTGAAAGCTGTTTCCCCAAAATACATTGTTTACAAGATTCAGTTTCACAAATTTTGACAAAGTCCATTCCTCAGCTGTCTCCATAACTGTCCCTGTGGCTCTTAGCAAAGTATGTCATTACAAATTTACAAGCTGTGGTTTTCCATTTTGCCAAGGTGCCTTGGCTTATTTAAGTCAATGGGCTATTGAAAGTCATACTCTCCTCCTTCCCCCAGGAGATTTACCAATGCAAGCCATGGTGTCAGGTAAGGTGGCTGTCATACATGGGCTTTTTCCTAAGAGAAAATTATTGAGCAATCACTAAGTACCCTCAGCTCACATTACAATCAAGCTAGAACACTGTCACCCCACATGAGAGTGCCCTAATACCAGATGACAGGTCCAGTGGTATTTTGTTAGGCCTGCATCTACTTTTTAAAAAGACCATCCCATGTTTTATAACTTTTTAGTGGAAACCTGCACTACAAATACAACATAGAACCATGCAAGCTGTTTGAAATAATAGATTTTCCTCTGCTCTATAAAATAAGGCCACCAACCTACTTTAAAAACTGGGTTTACAAAAACTCAGAGCAGACAATGAGGGAGACAATGAGTGAGACCTGAAGACAAGCTCTGTGTAGTTCAAAAGCTTGTATCTATCTATCATCAACAGAAGTTGGCCCAATAAAAGAGATTATTTCACCTATGTTCTCTCATATTCTGGTAATTGCAGGTGGCTACAAAGATGCTGCAAACAACATTGGAAAATATCAAATTTTGCAGGTTAAAATGGAAACTTTACAACATGAAGAAAAAGGAAGCCAGACTAAACAGTGTCATCGACTTTCTGAGCAATGGAAGACAAAAACCAAAAGAAGAGCTCTGTGTGGCTCAATCTTCTATGTTCCATCAACAAAATCTGTTCCAATAAAATGTCTCACTCAGGGTATGTCTACACTACAAAGTTAGTTCGAATTAACTTTAATAGGCGCTACACTAGCACTCTGCTAGTTCAAACTTAATTCGAACTAGCGGAGCACTTAATTCGAACTGGGAAAACCTCATTCTACAAGGACTAATGCCTAGTTTGAATTAGCTAGTTCGAATTAAGGGCTGTGTAGCCACTTAATTCAAACTAGTGGGAGGCTAGCCCTCCCCAGCTTTCCCTGGTGGCCACTCTGGCCAACACCAGGGAAACTCGTCTGCCCCCCTCCTGGCCCCGGAGCCCTTAAAGGGCCACGGGCTGGCTACACAGTTTGTGCCAGTTGCAAGGCTGCCAGCACCCAGACAGCAGACCCTGCACCTGGCATGCCATGAGCCAGCCACCCGATGCCACCCTCCCCTCCCCCTCTCCCGGGACCAGGCTGGCAGCTCCCAGGAGCCTGCCCCGGGCCACAAGAGGCGGGG